GCATCGCTTCTAGTAACAAGTGCCTTACTAGTAGTAACAAGAAGCTACTAGGAACAAGTGCATCGCTACTAGTAACAAGTGCCTTACTAGTAGTAACAAGAAGCTATTAGGAACAAGTGCCACGCTACTAGGAACCCTGACATCCAGTCCCTCTCAGCGACATCCACGTGGCCGACATGTTTGCGTGTTGGCGCTGGCGCTGCTTTGGCCGTCGCAGCAAAGCGACCGTTGATTGCACGTTTGTGGGTTTGTTGTGCTTCGACTGGTCACGGGTGTCACTGCACGCAGTTAGAGACCTACATGTTTGCAAAGGGATTTGCGGCTGCATCCCCACATGGAAGTGGCGGACAAACATTTCTTTTTCTGTCTTAGCTTTCTTGCTCCGTTCGTAGCGATGGCCTTTGCTCCTAGCAGCTTCTAGCTACTAGTAGTAATGCCCTTGTTACTAGTAGCTTCTTGTTACTACTAGTAAGGCACTTGTTACTAGAAGCGATGCACTTGTTAGTAGTAGCTTCTTGTTACTAGTAGTATGGCCAGGAGCTACTAGTAGCTTCTTGCTCCTAGGCCCGAAACGCAATGGCATGAGACGGTTCTGATGTGAACAGTGGCATGGGGCGCCAAGCGGTTCGGTGCCTCACACCTTGTGGCCCCATTTCCCTGTGGCCCTCACTCTCAAAGCTTGGGTCGCGTCTTTACAGCGTTTTTGCCCAGAGCGTCCACTTTCTCACTTGTTGCTGATCCTGGAATGGAATCACAGTCCGTTTGCTTCCACGGTGTGGGCGTTGTCAACACTGGCAGTACCAGTTCCTGCTTGTGCCTACCTAGCTGCTAGCTAGTTTGGTCACCTCGGGGCCCGTGGGATGCTGCGGTATCAGGCGGGTGGGTGGACCCCGCACAAAGCTGCTGGACCTGTACAGTGCTTTGCCGCAGCGCTCACACCGTGCGCATACACAACTCAGAAGCCGTCACGTGATTGAAACGCCCATTAGACCTTTCTTTTGTCCCTCTGTCCTTTCCTTCTTCTTTTGCACTCTAGACCTACAAATCTTTGGAGGCCTTTGGAATGTTTGGTAAACTGCAGCCTGAAAAACAACTGGGCTGAGGAGGGCCCGAGGGCCGCATATTGCTGGGCACTATGGTCAGCTATGATCAGTTGATGGGACAGCAACCCAAGTGGATAATCTAAAGTTAACTCTTTACTGACCCTTCAGGTAAGCCTGACTAAGTACATCCGAAAGAAACGAAGAACAAAAGAAGGTCCCAAACGAGAAAGAACGCAATCAACAGTTCATTTAAAAGCACTAAACTATAAACAGAAAGAACTTAGACTTGGACTTGAACTTCACTTTTGCTTTCAAAGATGAACGTCCATTGTCATTTCGTTCGACCAACGCCTGGGCATGTCCCAAGTCCTCATAGTCTGCGATCTGTTGGGAATTGTGGAAGCAAACCATTCCTTCCAGGAAACCAGCCATTCGCAGCTTTAGTCAACCAAATCAAACAAAAGACGTTTGCTGGACTTGTGTGGACATCTTCTCTGAGTCGAGGGTTGGGAACATTCAGGCAAACTCATCCCTGTGCAAAGGCTCTGCCTTAAGTAAAGCGAACAGCACAACCTCTGACAGACACACGTCTCTTGACGTTTTGTTGAGCTCCTTTGTCACCCACTGTTTTGCTGCCAGCATATGCAGCTCGTGCAGTAATAGGCGACGTTTCTCCCCGATGTAAATCTTCCACTTCAGTCAGCACAAATTCATGCTGCACATGGTTAAAGCCTGAGGTGCTCGAGCAACGCAACACATAGGGGTGGGGACACAGAGCATGCATCGAACGTCGAGAGAAGCAGCCTAAACTCTAGCATACAAACCCAAACACTCTAATCATGGTTAGAGCCGGATTCGGAAACTAATCGGTCGGATTCTGAAACTAGGGTTCTGAAACTGGGGTTCTGAAACTAGGGTTCTGAAACTTGGATTCTGAAACTGGTATTCTGAAACTGGGGTTCTGAAACTGGGATTCTGAAACTGGGGTTCTGAAACTAGGATTCTGAAACTGGGATTCTGAAACTGGTATTCTGAAACTG